CTAATATGGTCACATCGACGTGATGTGTTTCATGTTTCTTCTCCCTCAGATTTAAAGTAACCAGCTTGACGAGTGGCCTGAACATAATAAGGGCACAGTAGTGTCTTCATGTTTCTCATCACAGCCTCAGGCTTGCTCTGTCAGCCCTTTCTTCCCTAGTGGTCGTTGTGAGGAGAGCTGATGATGCTCTGATCACAGTCTTGTTTGTTATTAACTCTCAGTTACTTTCAGGTATGGGAAAGTTCAGGCCACACTCTCACTCCAAGCTCTTGTACATCCCGTCATTCTAGCCTGCACAGGGGAGATGGAGGAGGCTTGTCTGTATTCCCACCCCATTTACTTGTTGCCCTCCGGTGGGGGCTCCTTCTGGGTTGGGATGGGAAGATCGGTGGTGAGAGGAGAAGATACAAAGGCCCGTGTTGTGTGGTGGTCAGTACCCAGTGTTATGACAGGCATCTGTGGGGTTTGTGGGGCCTGGTTAGAGCCTCTGACAGGGCTCTACCCAGCAGTTCCGTGATGTATGTGATTCTTTCTCTCACTGCTTGCAGACTCACCCAGAGGTCCACTCACTGCCTCTTCCCCTGGGGTCTCCCTCCTGCAAGTAGTGCTGCCGAGGAGGGGCCTGCTAATGAGCTCAAGTGTCAAGTTCAGGAATCTTCTGGGTGTTCTTTGGGCCCAGGGAAACAGTGCCCTGCCTGAGGTGAGCTGCAGGGAGATGGTGCCCTGCCTGAGGTGAGCTGCAGGGAGACGGTGCCCTGCCTGAGGTGAGCTGCAGGGAGACGGGCCCTGCCTGAGGTGAGCTGCAGGGAGACGGGCCCTGCCTGAGGTGAGCTGCAGGGAGATGGTGCCCTGCCTGAGGTGAGCTGCAGGGAGATGGTGCCCTGCCTGAGGTGAACTGCTGAGCCCTCACTCCCCTGCTGCCTTTTAAAAGTCCCCCTGCAGTCTCTGCCTTCAGAATTTTTTGCAGGAAAGCAGTTATCGGATCCTTGTTTACTTAAATTCTTAAGCACATGTCAGTTCCTTCTGAAAAGTCCCCAGATTTAGCCTGATCAGTTCTTGCAGACGTCCAGGTTGTGTGTGGGGCGCTTGCACAGTCCACTTTTCTTGGAGCCCCTCATGTTTGAGAGGATGGAGACCGGCTTCCCTTTCTTCCCACGTGTTCCTAGCAAGGTCACTTTTCTCCTTCAGTGACTCACTTCTGTGGACTGCTTTCTGGTTGGATCTCCCCCATCTTCAGTCATTCATGGACCAGTTATTCACTATCTTCTTTCCTCCCTTTGTTATCCCCAGGCTTCTCCAGCTCTTTAAAGGGGAAGTTCTGTAGTTTGCTTGGCCAGGCTGCTTGGTGTCCTCCTGGCCCCGCTTCTGTCTCTAAGCGTGCCACGGTGTCTCTATCAGGTTGTGTTCTGGCTCTGTCCCCACGGGATGCCCAGAGTCCAGCCACTGCTTATCATCCCCATCGCTGTCACCTTGGCCCAAGCCGCCTTCTTCCATTGGACTAACACAGTTGCCTCCTAACTGGTCTCCTCGGTATCTCCTCTTACAACCCCCTCCGTCTTCCACAGCAGTCAGGGTGATCTCCTCAAAATACGAGTCAGAGCGAGAAGCCTTCCATTGCCTTCTCACAGCACTTGCATTTCTGCCCAGATATCACCTCATCAGAGAGCTGCCCTGATCCCCCTGTCTGAAACAGCACCCGTGCCTCCCTCTCTCTGATGACCCTGTCCCTTACCTGCTCGGATTTTTCATTTGTTTGTTTTTTGTTTTGAGACAGAGTCTTGCTGTGTCGCCCAGGCTGGAGTGCAGTGGTGCGATCTCTACTCAACTGCAACCTCCACCTCATGGGTTCAAGCGATTCTCCTGTCCCAGCCTCCCGAGTAGCTGGGATTGCAGGCGTGCACCACCACATCACGCTAGTTTTTGTATTTTTAGTAGAGACGGAGTTTCACCATGTTGGCCAGGCTGGTCTCGAACTCCTGAGCTCAGGTGATCCGCCCACCTTGGCCTCCCAAAGTGCTGGGATTACAGGCATGAGCCACGGTGCCCAGCCTGGATTTTGTTAAGAGTACCTAGCACCAGTGGCATGTTAGGTAGTCATGTGTTGGCTGAGTAACACCCACCCTGGAGACCCTAGGTGGGTGGGACCTGGGAGCCTAATTCGTATACTGCTTTTAGCTATTTTCAGTTCACACCTCGTTGTCCTCATGCAGGATGACTGTTCCCAGAGCTTTTAGGGCTTCTGTGGGAGAGATGGTTTGCTGTGCATCAGCTTACCTCTGGAGAGCTTCTGCTCAGGGAAGTCAGTTACCAGATTTTTGGCTTACTGTTTATTAAAAATTTATCAAAATATCTTACTGGCTTCTGTTTACGTAGTTCCCTTTTTTTTTAGAGGTGTGTTTGTGCATGCTATATTCCTGTATGTAATTTAAATGAGTCTCAGATAGAGGAGGATACTGATAGTCATGTTTAAATCTTCTCTCCATTCTCTCTGTTCCTACTTTCAAATCACATTTAGTCTCCACCTCAACCTCCCTAATGGGCATAAATCTTACAGCTTTGGGCCGGGCGCGGTGGCTCAAGCCTGTAATTCCAGCACTTTGGGAGGCCGAGACGGGCGGATCACGAGGTCAGGAACTCGAGACCATCCTGGCTAACAAGGTGAAACCCTGTCTCTAAAAAATACAAAAAAAAAAAAAAAGCTAGCCGGGCGAGGTAGTGGGCTCCTGTAGTCCCAGCTACTCGGGAGGCTGAGGCAGGAGAATGGCGTAAACCCGGGAGGCAGAGCCTGCTGAGATCTGGCCACTGCACTCCAGCCTGGGTGACAGAGCGAGACAGAACCTTGAGCTAAAAAAAAAAAAAAAAAAAGAAATGCCTTTAGTTTAAGCCCCTTGAGTTAAACTGATGTAAAAATGCAATTATTTTGTGCTAATTCTGTGAGTATCAGCTTTCATTGATTTAGCATTTACCTGATATCTTTTTTCATTTATTGTCTAATTTGTATTTTTTTCTTTGGTGTATCTCATGAGTTTCAGACTGTCTTAGTTATGTTTTCAGTATGTTTCTTCTAACATGAATGTGTTCTTTGTCAGTCGGTTTTTTCTCTACTGTTTTGGAAGCTCTACTTCCTCCGCGCTCCCTCCCTACATTTTAGTGCTCGATTGTCTCTTAAGTCATTCGCAGACCCACTGAACGTTTCCCTTTAAACCAAAGTCTATACAGTTGCATTTTCTCTTTTCCCAAGTGAAAGATGTTTCTTTATACCTTCATTTTCTATGATTCTCATCTATTTGCATCACACACATGCTTAAGTCACATAGCTGATAATAATTTTAGTTCAGATGTGTTTGAATCAATATTTAGATTTACGTTCTGCTGCTCCACCAATTCTTTCTGTGTCTTAATGTTGTCTGTATAGGGTGTATTTTTTTTTTTTAATTTAAAAAAGTTGTTAAATTTTTTTTTAGAGACAGAGTCTGGTTCTGTTGCCCAGTGTAAAGTGCAGTGGCACAGTCATGGCCAACTATCGCCTCAAGCTGCTGTGCTCAAACCATCCTTCCACCTCAGCCTCCTGAATAGCTGGGACTACAGGTGTGCACCACCATGCCCACACATTTTTTGTTACTTGTAGAGATGGGGTCTAACTATGTGACCCAGGATAGTCTCAAACTCTTGGCCTCAAGTAATCCTCCTGCCTCAGCCTCCCAAATGCTGGGATTATAGGCATGACTACCACACTTGATGGATATAAATTTTCCAGGTGCTTGTATATTTGAAAATGTCTTTTATTTTCCCTTATTCTTGCCTTTTAGTTTGGCTGGTATAAGATTTCAGCATCAGCGTTGTTTTTTCTCTGTACTTTATTTCTCTTCCACTTTCAGGAAACATTGTTCTTTCCTTTTAGTTGGTTATCAGGTGTTCTCTATTTATTTTCAGACGTTTCATTACCATCTGCTTAAATTTGGACCTTTTTTTTTTTGGTTGACTTATCTTGCATTTCAATTGGTAGGTTTTTATCACGTGAACTCCTGTATTTGTCTTCACTCCAGGAGAATTTTCAGGCCGTATTTCTTCAAACATTGCCCTATTATTTCTCTTATTTATATAAACCTACATTGGCAATTTTTCTATAAACTAGGAAAATCATTCCAGACTTATTTATTTATTTATTTGAGACAGAGTCTCGCTCTGTCGCCCAGGCTGGAGTGCAGTGTCATGATCTTGGTTCACTGTAACCTCTGCCTCCCTGGTTCAAGCGATTCTCCTGCCTCAGCCTCTTGAGTAGCTAGGCTTGCAGGCGCCCGCCACCACGGCTGGCTAATTTTTGTAATTGTAATAGAGATGGGGTTTCACCATGTTGATCAGGCTGGTCTTGAACTCCTGACCTTGTGATCTGCTTCCCTCAGCCTCCCAAAGTGCTGGGCTTACAGGCATGGGCCACTGTACCCGGCCTCCAGGTTTATTTTGTAATCTAGCTCTTACCTGTTCACCCATTGTAGCCATCGCTATGGTTTGAATGTATCTTTCAAATTTCATATGTTGGAAATTTAATTCCTAAATTTATTCGTTGATGATATTTGGAGGTAGAAGGTATTTAGGATTTGACAAGGTCATCAGGGCAGGGACCCTATGATGGGATTAGTAGCTTTATAAGGATAGGAAGAGAGACCTGAGCTGGCATGCTCCCTGTCTCTCATCATGTAATGCCTTCTACCAAGTTACGACATAGCAAGAAGGCCCTCACCAGATGCCAGCACCATGCTTGTGGGCTTCCCGGCCTCCAGAACCTTGAGCTAAATGAACATTTTTCTTTATAAATCACCCAGTTTCTGGTATTCTGTTATAAAAATAGAAAACAAAGACAGCAGTCTTTTCTGTGTCTGAAATATTTGCAGTTCCTTGAATTGACCAGGCTCTACCGTGTGTTCTGTGTGATGCTTGCTCCTGGTACAGGAACTGCAAATTATGTTCCAATCTATTTTTTTTTCTTTCTTTCATAATAGATTTGCCAGTTTTTCAGTTGGGCATATACAGAAACAGACTCCATTTCTGAATTTCCCTGCTGTTCCCTCCCAGCCCCCACTCTTTGCTGTTGCTTAGAATGCAGATGTGATGACTAGAGCCATCTTAGACTGGGTTGCCCTGGAAGTGGAAGCCGTGTAAGGTGGAGCAGAGATGGAAGCCCCAGACCAATTGCCTTCAGACTCCTGCAAGTAGAAGGATAAACTCTCTTGTTTATCCCCCTGTTCTCAGTTGAACCTCGTCCACACACCTCCTGAATCGCCCTTTCCACCCCAACTTCTTGAGGAACACATCACGAATCTTCTAAGACTACTTGAGTGGCTCTCTTCATTCCTGTGCAAAATGTACCCTGGATGTTTTTACCAAGGACTCAGAACACCTTATTTTGTTTGCATGTATAAATGTTCATTCCTATCTACAAGATAGAAAGCTTCTTGAAGACAGAACTGGATTTTATTCATCCTGAAATCTTCAGGATCCAAGAGAGTACTGGCAAATAGAAGCTCCTCGATTGATTTTTTTTTTCTTTTTTTTCTTTTGAGATGGAGTCTCACTCTGTCGACCAGGCTGGAGTGCAGTGGCGCGATGTCGGCTCGCGCAACCTCTGCCGCCCGGGTTCAAGTGATTCTCCTGCCTCAGCCACCTGAGTAGCTGGGATTACAGGTAGCCTGCCACTGCGCCCGGCTAATTTTTGTATTTTTAATAGAGACAGGGTTTCACCATCTTGGTCAGGCTGGTCTTAAACTCCTGACCTCGTGATCCTCCTGCCTTGGTCTCTGAATGTGCTGGGATTACAGGCGTGAGCCACCATGCCCGGAACTCCTTGATTGATTTTTAATTCTCTCACAGAGTAAATGCTAAACCAGACACAGGAAATAGTCGGTAGAGGAACATTTTTCCCTTCCCAGTTCCTCTGCATCTTTTCCACATCACCTAATGTAATTGCATCCAATTGAACAGGGTGTGTGTTATTTCAGGGATTATTGTCGTTCAAGGATATATCTATGGAATTCACCTGGGATGAATGGCAGCTACTGGATTCTACACAGAAGTACCTATACAGAGATGTGATACTGGAGAACTATCATAACCTGTTATCAGTGGGTAAGTGCTCCGTCTCAACGTCACATCACTCAGATAGTGAGTAATAAATTGCCATCCTTTTTTTGTTGTTGACCTACTCTGGGATCTCTGAAGTGCTTAATGATTATGAACTTGAACTTTAGGGGTCAAATTTCCTTCGTCCGTATTTGTCCCTCACTTCCTAATTGTAATCTTTCCCCAAGTGAGATGAGCAGTTTTACTCTGTAGCTCTTGATTCCTCGGTCCTGTCCCTAATAGCCTGGTCCCCACCCTTTGTGATTTCCCATCAACAGGGTATCATGGTACCAAGCCTGACTTAATCTTCAAGTTGGAACAAGGAGAAGATCCATGGATAATAAATGCCAAAATTTCCAGGCAGAGCTGTCCAGGTGGGTGAGTGAGAATGAGGAAGGTGGGAGGCATGGGAGTGAGCTGGTGAGTACCTGAGGAGTGGGCACTCGCAGTGTTGTCTTCAGAAATTCTTCTGGAAGTCCTTGAGCTACTGGAGCTGACTCAGGATGAAGCCAGGAGCTCCTCAGATAAGGAAATCGCCGTCACTCTTCATATATTTGGGTTTTCTCCCCCTCACTGTTGAGAGGCAGGCAGGCCCCTCTTCCCTGAACTCTGCTCCAGGCTTGCTTTTGGGTAAGTTTGCCTCCTCCCCACGGTCATGGTCATGGGTTTCATTGGGCATCGAGACCTTTAGGGGATTTCTTTTTCCCCTCACTTGGTGTGGCTCGTGGCCCTCTATTTCCCTTTCTTTTATTTCCTCCTTTGCCTTTCACAGTTAAATCCCCTAGACTTGACTCACAGTCTTAGCCCTGATGTCCCCTGTATCTTTGAGTGATTTTATACACCTTCCACTTCCCTTTTGCGTTGTCCAGAGGGGTATTTTTTCCAGTTTGGCTCTCCTCTCCTATGTTGTAACTGTCGAAAGACTCTTCCATTCTGAAGGTTTAAGTTTTCACCCCAGTGTTGTAACATCAAAATTGAGGTCTTTCTCTTTGGCACTTGAGTCCTGGGTTTTACCTGCCTGTAGGAGCGCTACCCCATGCTTTCCCAGACATTACTCTCAGTTTCAGAAATGGGGATTTCCTTCTAAAATTACCACTCTTCCTCAAAAGAAATAGCCAGAGTCCTTCATTTTCTTCCACAAGTTTCTTTCTTAGTGTTTCCATCTCTAAGGAGCAGTGCCATCTTGCCATTCAAGCCGTTGACTCCTCCCCTTCTGTGCTCCCACATCCAGTCCGTCAGCAAATCATCTTAGTTCTCTCCCATGTGTTCCAAATTTCCTCAATTCCAGACATGTGTTAGGCCATTCTTTCATTGCTATAAAGAAACACCTGAGACTAGGTAATTTATAAGAAAAGAGGTTTAATTGGCTCAGAGTTCTGCAGGCTGTACAGGAAGCATGGCAGCATTTGCTTCTGGGGAGGTCTCAGGTAGCTCCGGTCATAGTGGAAGTCAAAGCGGGAGCAGGCACATCACATGGTGAAAGCAGGAGCAAGAAGGGGCGGGGAATGTGCCACATAGTATCAAATGACCAGATCTCACAAGAACTCACTATCATGAAGACTGCACCAAGCCATGAGGGATCTGCTCCTGTGATCCGGATGTGAACACTTCCCACCAGGCCCCACCTCCAGCATGGGAGATTATAATTCAACTGAGATTTGGGCGGGAATAGGTATCCAAAGTATATCAAGAAGTGTAGTTCAAATTATCTCGTTCTGGACTGCTGCAATAACTGTCTAAAGTATTTCTCTGCCCTTTTCTTACTTTTTACAGAATAGTCAAACTGATCTTTTAAATGCAGAAGACTGAGATTTTCTGTAATTAAAAACCTTTAGGCTGGGCACAGTGGCTCACGCCTGTAATCCCAGCACTGTGGGAGGCAAAGGCGGGCAGATCACTTGAGCTCAGGAGTTTGAGACCAGCCTGGCCAACAAGTGAAACCCCATCTCTACTAAAAATACAAAAATTAGCTGGGTGTGGTGGCGAGTGCGTATAGTCCCAGCTACTCAGGAATCTGACATGGAGGATCACTTGAACCCAGGAGGTCTAGGCTGCAGTGAGCCAAGATTGCGCCACTGCACTCCAGCCTGGATGACAGAGCAAAGACCCTGTCTCAAAAAAAAAAATCTTAGAAATGTAAAGAACTTTTTGCCATGGTTTTGAATACTTTGGTTCTGCTTTCATTCATTCACTCAGTGGGTTTTAGCTATCCTGGCCTTTTTCTATTTCTTAAACTCTGTCAGTCAGGCTTCCTCCTCAGGAACTTTGTACTTGGTGCTGTGGCACGATCTCGGCTCACTGCACCCTCTGCTTCCCGGGTTCAAGTGATTCTCCTGCCTCAGCCTCCCTAGTAGCTGGGATTACGGGTGCCCGTCACCATGCCTGGCTAATCCAAGTGCCAGTTTTAAACCTCTATTTTAAAAACTATTTTTGATTACTGGTAATTTGCTGCCAGTTTTCACGAGGGGCCTATTTTGGTCTGTTTTGATTCAGTTCCCTTGCCCCTATGCTTGGCCAGTATTTCTTTTGAACCAATGTGGTAGACTTGTTACCAAAAGAGAAAGGTTGATTACATGACAGTCCTAATACTGTTTAATTCCATATCAGGTTTATGTTATGATGCAAAAAGTTATCTTTTGTTTGTTTTTTGTAGATGGGTGGGACGAATGGTACCAGAACAATCAAGATGAGCTTGAAAGTATTGAAAGAAGCTATGCTTGTAGTGTGTTGGGAAGACTTAATCTGAGCAAAACCCATGATTCTTCAAGACAGAGACTCTGTAACACACATGGGAAAAGTTTGACACAAAACTCAGCTTCAAGCAGAAGTTATTTGAGAAGGAATTCTGATAAGTTTCCTGGTTATGAAGAACCATATTTTCTTAAGCATCAAAGAACTCATAGCATAGAAAAAAATTGTGTGTGTAGTGAATGTGGGAAAGCTTTTCGTTGTAAGTCACAGCTCATTGTACATCTCAGAATTCATACAGGAGAGCGGCCTTATGAATGCAGTAAATGTGAAAGAGCCTTCAGTGCCAAGTCAAACCTTAATGCTCATCAGAGAGTTCATACAGGAGAAAAACCCTACTCATGTAGTGAGTGCGAGAAGGTCTTCTCTTTCAGGTCACAGCTCATTGTCCATCAGGAAATTCACACAGGAGGGAAACCCTATGGCTGCAGTGAATGTGGGAAAGCCTACAGTTGGAAATCACAGCTTCTTTTACACCAGAGAAGTCACACAGGAGTGAAACCCTATGAATGCAGTGAATGTGGGAAAGCCTTTAGTTTGAAGTCTCCATTCGTTGTACACCAGAGAACGCACACAGGAGTGAAACCACATAAATGCAGTGAATGTGGGAAAGCCTTTAGGAGTAAGTCCTATCTCCTTGTTCACGTCCGAATGCATACAGGAGAAAAACCCTATCAATGCAGCGATTGTGGGAAAGCCTTCAATATGAAGACACAACTCATCGTACATCAGGGAGTTCACACAGGAAATAATCCTTACCAATGCGGTGAATGTGGGAAAGCCTTTGGTAGGAAGGAACAGCTCACTGCACATCTGAGAGCTCATGCGGGAGAAAAGCCCTATGGATGCAGTGAATGTGGGAAGGCCTTCAGTAGCAAGTCATACCTTGTTATCCATAGGAGAACACACACCGGAGAGAGACCCTATGAATGTAGTTTGTGTGAGAGAGCCTTTTGTGGAAAATCACAGCTGATTATACATCAGAGAACTCATTCAACGGAGAAACCCTATGAATGCAATGAATGTGAAAAAGCCTACCCTAGGAAGGCATCACTTCAAATACACCAGAAAACTCATTCGGGAGAGAAACCTTTTAAATGCAGTGAATGTGGAAAAGCCTTCACTCAGAAGTCATCTCTCAGTGAGCATCAGAGAGTTCACACTGGAGAGAAACCGTGGAAGTGCTCTGAATGTGGGAAATCCTTCTGTTGGAATTCAGGGCTTCGTATACATCGCAAGACTCATAAATGAGAAATCGGAATGATGCAATGTGAGAAACTGATGTTCAGGAGACTTCGGATAATATAGACAGGCTTTACAAGCAGGAGGCCCTAAAACTACAGTCATGTCAAAAATCAGAGAGGAGAGAGACCAACCATATTTGGGATGAGTGTAAAAGCTTTCAGAAATAAGTTGCAAATCTTTGTAGATGAAAATAGTGGAAGGAATGCAGAGCAATAAGTGTATCAGATGTTGTAGTATCATCATGAAGATTCAGAGAATTTACACGAGGAACACCTCATAAGTTCAGTAAATTAGGGAAGCATTTCCCGTTGAAAGTGTGTTCCGTGGAAAGTCACATTCCAGATTTGAAGCTGTGTTTTTGTAAAATAAAATCTCATTGTGAACAGTTGACTTTTCATGGTGGAGTATAAAGTTGTTTTTTAAAAAATATATAAATAAAGTAATGTTCAGGAAAAACAGGGAACAGATTCTTAAAGTTAAGGGATATTTCATATGACTTCCCTAAGTTAACACTGAAAAGTATTTCTAAAATTTTTAGTATTTTATATTTTAATGTAACTTGTTCTGTCTATCTAACTATATATATATATATATTTGATAGTTTGTGGAATAATATCCCCCAGTATTTTCCATATTAAATGCTAATTGTCTTTTCTTTTTCATAAGCAGATCTGGTGTTTATTACAGGGCTGCCGCTTAAGAGAACTCATTGTAATGAACGTTTATTATATTTTGCAGTTCCGTGCCTGTTGTCCATTGATTGACATGAGCACCCTTGTTTTCTCTGGAGAAATACCTCCCCTCTCTGGGGTGCTTCCTGTGGTAGTGTCTTTCAGGTATCCGTTCCACTAGCTACAGGTGAGCATTTTACCCATTGTTGGATAATGGTAATCTCTTTTTCAGAATTTTGAGTCTGTAATTCATTCACACGTGAACCAGAAAATGTGGGAACTCGTTCAGTCTTGTCCCAGAATTCTGTTGAGAACATCCATTCATTCTGGCTAATTGATTACAAGAATAACTGTGGATACTATCCCTTTAGAACCTGCTTCTCTGATCTTCTGTTGTTTCCTCACTTCTCAATAAAAATGTCTTTTACTTTTTGTTGTTTGGGTTTTTGTTTTTTTTTCTTAAGAAGAATGACTTTCTATTTCTTTTTTATTTTTTTGAGACTTAGTTTTGCTCTTGTCCCCCAGGCTGGAGTGCAATGGCGTGATCTCAGCTCACTGCAACCTCCGCCTCCCAGGTTCAAGCAATTCCCTTGCCTCATCCTCCCGAGTAGCTGGGATTACAGCTGCCTGCCGCCATGCCTGGCTAATTTTTGTATTTTTAGTAGAGACGGGGTTTCACCATGTTGGCCAGGCTGGTCTTGAACTCCTGACCTCAGGTGATCCGCCCACTTCAGCCTCCCAAAGTCTTGGGATTACAGGTGTGAGCCACCATGCCCGGCCGGCTTTCTATTTCTTGTAACCTAAGGGCTTTAACTGATAAGTTGTTGCCTTGGTAACATGTAGTTGACAAAGTGGGGTATATGATTTAGGTTTGTCTGTTTTTCCTGAGACAAGAAAATCCCATTCTTGTTTATATTTGAAGATAGCAACTTTTAGCCCATCATGTGAACTAGTGTTATTGTTTCTGTACACCTGGAGTGTTGTAGTCCCTGATGCTGAAATTTTGGAAACACCGAAGAACTATAGCCTTTTAAGAATTTTAAATTTATGAGAAAATCTGAGATGGGACGGAGATGGCTGATTTTGATCGTGCTAGATCTTAGATCATAAGAATGCCAGGCCTGAAGCCCTGAAATCTCATCTCAGGTTGGAGTGTCAGACTCAGCAATTTTGACATTGCTGTAAAAGTTTCTTACAGCTGTGGGAGTGAGATGGTGGGAATCAAATAGTATATTTGGCTTGGTGAATTAAAGTCAGTTCACCTCAAATGTTTACTAAATCCCTTAATGTAAACATGCATTGAAAAAGTTATCCATATTCTCCCCTTCCCCCCCGCCAACAAAAAGTTATCCCTTGATAATTTGAATAGGAATATCTGGGAAGAACCTGAGGACTCGGCCTAGCAAACTCTTCTGATGTACTTTGCACTGCAGGTGCTTCATTTAAGGATATAGAACATGTTGGCAATATATAAAATTCAAACTTGAGTGTCCATAAATAACTGTTGTTAGAACATGGCTAAATATATTTGTGTATTATTTGACTGCTTTTGCACAGCAATGGCACAGTTGAGTAGCTGAGGTATAAAAAACCTGCCACCTCCTGATATAAATAGAACCCCTTCCCTTTTCTGGAATGTGGAATTTGCCTTGCAGGAGGAAACTTATTCTACCAATTCCCCATGGCTTATTTTTACCAGTTTGGTAACAAGAATCTACACTGAACATGCCCTGGGATGGGACTGCTCATTTAGGGAATAGGTAGAATTCATAGAGCATTGCAGGAATGAGTAATATATCCAAACTTCTCAACATGACAAAATCCAAGGCAACGTGACAAAACCCTGTCTACAAAAGTTTTTTAAAAGCTGGGTACAGTGGTGCACACCTGCAATCCCGGCTCCTCAGGAGGTTGAGGCAGGAGGATTGCTTGAGGTCAAGGGTGCAGTGAGCTGCACTGCACTCCAGTCTGGGCAACAGTGAGACCCTGTCTCAGAAAAAAAGTCGGGGGAGCGGGTAGATACTTGTGAAATCCTTTGAGGGTGTTCAGTGAGGGCAGTTACTTACAGCATATACTTGGTGCACTGACACCCAGCAGTGATGATGGTTTTGTTTTTTGGTTTTTTTTTTTTTTTGAGACGGAGTCTCACTCAGTCGCCCAGGCTGGAATGAATGGCACCATCTTGGCTCACTGCAAGCTCCGCCTCCTGGGTTCAAGTGATTCTCCTGCCTCAGCCTCTCGAGTAACTGGGATTACAAGGCTCATGCCACCATGCCCGGCTAATTTTTGTATTTTTAGTAGAGATGGGGTTTTACCATGTTGGCCAGGCTGGTCTTGAATTCCTGACCTCAGGTGATCCACCTGTCTTGGCCTCCCAAAGTTCTGGAATTACAGGCGTGAGCCACCACACCTGGCCATGATGATGGTTTTAAAAGTTAGCTGCAGCAGCTAGGGCAAGACCAGATCCAACACTGGCTCATGGCAAGGGGAAGAACAAATGTCAGGAACTTTGCCATAATCTAAAAGAAAGAATGGTAATGCTTTGTGACATGCTGGGATTGAATCCATTATGTGTTCCTAAGACCCTAAGCCTTCTCCCTCCACCAAGACCCAACACAAATGTGTTATTGAAAGTAGTAGCTGCTGGCTGGGTGTGGTGGATCACCCCTGTAATCCCAACACTTTGGGAGGCCAAGGCGGGTGGGTCATGAGGTCAGGAGATCAAGACCAGCCTGGCTAGCACGGTGAAACCCTGTCTCTACTAAAAATACAAAAAATTAGCCAGGTGTGGTGGTGGGCACTTGTAGTGCCAGCTACTTGGGAGGCTGAGGCAGCAGAATGGTGTGAACCCGGGAGGCGGAGCTTGCAGTGAGCTGAGATCGTGCCACTGCACTCCAGCCTGGGTGACAGAGCGAGACTCCGTCTCAAAAAGAAGGAAGTAGTAGCTGCTCTCCCTAGGCCAGGAATGTGGGTGAGAGCATCTGTTAATCAAATCCATCATCTCTTGGAGGATACTGTTCTTTCAGAAGACTGGTAATGGCCCTTAACAACTAAACTAGGTTGGTTTGATTAGTGTAGGGTGGTAGGGTGGGCATGGTAATGAGGTCTCCAGTTGATTGTTAATTGTGAACTCTAAGAATGGAATTCAACCCATTTAAGGATTTGTCTGTAAAATCGAAGCATCTGATGTAACAGGCAACATGAGTGCCATGGCCCCCAGCCCAACTTGCGTACTTGCTTCAAAAAGCCCAGGTTCCTTGAATTAGCCATAGGCCATATACTGTTGAAGAAAGAATATAATGTGAACCTATTTCCTGTCATTTTTAGGGTGCTATACTCATAACCCAAGTAGCTTCAGAGGCTGTTGAATACTAGCTCCGACCTCACATATCAGATCATACTACTGTGATCTGATGAGCCAAGTCGGAGTTCTGATCCAAGGAATGTGGACCATTGACTCTTCTCCAGTGCTTGTTTCCCAGGACATCATAGTCCAGTGCTGCTCTGGTAGGCAGTTTGTGCCCATGTAACTCACCACACAAATACAACAATTCCTAACGGGTCTGTACTCTGACAAGGCGAAGAGCCCACTCTGCCTCTGATGCCATGACCATGTCACGTGCCTGTTTATAGTTGGTAAATTCATACAGACTGCTACTAGCTTGCAGACCAGACCACATTTTAACAGTGTGTGCGAGATTTCAACTTTAAGACTTGTGGACTGCAAATTCTGCATTAACGGCAGAGCATCAGTGGACAGCACCCATAGCAAAAGGACAAAGTAGGGAAAGTCCACCCGCCAACAGAAGGAAGGGATGCGGAAGCTTGTACTGGGGACTGCGTGCGAAGTGTTTTTTGTGTTTGCAACATGCTCAGTTTTAAGGTCCCAAATCCCATCTGTAAGTTCAGCAACATTCAAACTATCAAATTCACGTAAAAACTAGTTCTGCGCTTGGGATAATTTGGTGTTGGCGTGGGCAAAGCCAGACGGTATCAGGGTGAACACTTCCACTCGCCTGTACAGGACTCCCTCAGGGAAAGCTTCACTGAATAGTGGCTCAGAAAAGCAGAGGAGTGGACAGTTACTAACCATGTTCTGTGGTAATCATTGGCTACCAGAGTATCTTTGCCTTGGTAAGAAATCCACATTTATTTGGTGTCAAGGTAGTACTGTCCACAGGGAGGGTGGAAACCTCATTTCCCTCTGCTACTGATTAGTTTAGGAGTCCTGTCTCTGAGGCCCTGCCAATAACATATAACGAAAGTCTGCTGGTTATTTTCCAGGAATGGTATTCCTTGATTGCATGCAAACTCGCTTTCCCATTTGTTTTACATTGGTGCATGATGATGTGATTGGTTTGTGATCAAAATAGGAAACATCTCACTAGGAATAGCACTAGAGGTGGCAAAATCCTGGCTTTTTGAAAATAATTGAATTGCGATCCAACCCTGGAACTACTTTCTTCCAAATTTAGTATTAAAAAAAGTCCTTAGTCTTTTTTGAGAGAGAGTCTTGCTGTGTCACCCAGGCTGGAATGCAGTGGCGCGATCATAGCTCCCTGCATCCTGTGCCTCCCAGGCTTGAGCGATTCTCATGCCTCACCCTTCCGAGTAGCTGGGACTACAGGTGTGCGTCACTATACCCAGCTAAGTTTTGTTTTTTCGGTAGAGGTGAGTTTTCACCATGTTGGCCAGGCTGGTCTCGAACTCCTGACCTTAAGTGATCTCCCCACCTCAGCCTCTTAAAGTGCTGGTATTACAGGCGTGAGCCACCACCTGTAATATATAAGAATGCTTTTAAATGCAAGTAAAAGAACCTGTAACTTAAAGTGGTATAAGGACTAGGTACTTGCAAGTATTATTTGAAATACTGAAGGGCATTGTTGAAACCCAGAGGTTCCCCATTGCTGTGGGATAACTGACGGTTGTGGAATGCTGTCCCGTTCTCCTGGGGCCACTGCTTTTACATCATGTACATGGTGTTTATGAAAATCACAGACACGTGTACTGTGTATGTGGCACAATCCTAGTTGTGGTATGTATCTGTATCTGCACTTCCTTGGGCCTCAATGATCAACTTGTGGCAAAAGAACAAGAAAGAAGAACTGAAATACTTAGAACCAAGGATTTGCAAGTCAGTCTTTATGCCACTTTCAGTTGGGAGTTCTTTTGCATTTAAAAGCATTCTTATATAAAAGTGGAATTAAGAAACAGAAGGATTTTAACTTTTCAGAAAATCAGAAAACATAGCAGTTTGAGTTGTTTATTACAGATAAGATAACAGAACCATAAAGAATAGGGCAACATTAGGAAACAACAGGTGTATTGGCAAGACAGTCCAGCCTTCCACGGAAAGGTGTAGCCAATGCAAACTGGGTAATACTTGAGTTCAGGATTCCTTTACCCTTCCTGCGATCACTAATGAAGGGTGAC